GGGGGTCTCTGCGAAGGGTCAATTCCAGGTCATAGGACGTGAGCAGCTCTGTACTGTGAACAGCATGTTAGCTTGCTTATTATTATGATATACTAACAAGAAACTATGCTTCTACCCAGCTAACAGGGAACGTTCTTCAGCTAACATTCCAGAAAGGTACTCTCACAGTTATGAGCAAACATTCTTCCAGCAACATTAACAGAATGTTCATTCAAAGTTATCTGGGCTTTAATAATGTTTTCAAATCATTAGCTTAAAAACATTATTTATATGGAATGTTTTTCTGAAACATTTTAGTTGGCCATTCGTCTATGATGGTCCCATAATGTTTGCAAAATAATAAAATGGAAAATTCTCCTTAAAGGGATAGTTCACCCAAAAATGAAAATTACCCCATGATGCACTCACCCTCAAGCCATCCTAGGTGTATATGACTTTCTTCTTTCAGACAAATACAATCGGAGTTATATAAAAAAAAAAATCTCCACACTGTCCTGGCTTGTCCAAGCTTTATAATGGCAGTGATTTGTGGTTGAGATTTTTAAGCCCAAAAAAGTGTATCCATCCATCATAAAAAGTGCTCCACATGGCTCCGGGGGGTTAATAAAGGCCTCCTGAAGCGAATCAATGCATTTGTATAAGAAAAATATCCATATTTAAAACTTTATCAACTGTACTCTAGCTTCCGCTAACTGTTGTATGCGCGTTCACGAGAGAGTGGCGTTCCAGCGGATGACGTTCCAACTCGCGGCCATAGTTAGCTAATGGTGCTCTTGGGAAACACACCCCTGGCTGACTTTTTAAGCAGCTGGACTTAAGAATTTGATCAAACTGGCAAATAAATCCCATAGACTTGCACTGAAGGCCATACAGCTCAGAATATTAGAAACTTTAAAGTGAGGCTTTTGACTTGGGCCAGTAAGAAACCAGCTCAGCAACTGCATAGAAACCTCTAGCAACCATCCTGACGGTGCATTTTAGCCACACCTTCATGATACAGATGACCAAGGATGCAACTTCTTTTGCCTTTTTCTTAGATATTAACCATCATTCCTGTTAATGATGAAGAATATGGTGCTTTTATTTTCTGTAATTAGTTTAAATATGAATAGCACTCAGTCACTGTAACAGAAGTCGCTGCCATGTGACAGAGAGTCTAATTGGCAAGCAAGACGTGTAATATTACTTAAATCTGTTACGCCACTCACACGTTAATCAAATCATTAAATTATAATCCCAGTGCACTTTCCTGATCTCTGGAGTGATGTGCTCTCATATCACTGTTCAGTCTGAATATGATAATGCATTATGTGAATCGTTCACCTGAAATTAGACTCCCCGTGTTATCTCTAATGCGCACTAAACCTGAAGGGCTGTGCTTGTGTAATGCTTAAAAAACAATGTATTAAGATTAATGTTGTTGGTTGTAATGATTACTGAGGACATTTATTCTCATCTGCTCCTGAGAGATTACAGTTTTTTTATGGCAAGTTTTTGTACCGCACATTTTTAATTGGATGTATTATGTGTAATTAAATATATGCTGAGATGCTTGTTAGGTAGCAAGAGATCAAGCAAATCATTCAAAACTTTGTGCTAACACAGTGCAACTGGTTTTATTCTTAGGCTTTTAAGCACAACTTTTATAAACATTTTTGTTCTGCTTTAAAACAGACGCATTTGCACCTCAATCGTTAAGTCTTTTCACTGCCTCTGAGATTGTCATTTCTAACATGTCATGGCTTTGATATGACACAATATAGTCTAAATGTCAATACCACTGTATGCTGTGACTATGACATAGATTGATTCCTGTTGTTACGGAGATGGCAGCTATATTGCAGATGCAAATAAAGCATTGTGGCCTATGTAGGTGTTATTGTGAGCAGCGTTATTGTGCTTTAGATGACTGCAAAACTCAGAGCGGCTGTTTTCTCCTCTGCTGTTTCCTCCGAGTTTGTCTAGACAACATTTTCTTGTTATGCCTCTTTGTGTCACATTTGTGCTACTGCAATAACACTCAGATACAGATGAGTCACACTTCAATTTTTTATTTTTTATTATTATTTGTTTTTTGGTTAACGCTTTACTAAAAGGTTCCATGTGTTAACATTAGTTAAAAGAACAATTACTCTACAATTAATCCAAAATGCCGCTGCAAGATTAATCTCGAATGAGCCGAAAAGAACGCATGTCACACCTCTGTTCATCAATTTGCACTGGCTACCAGTAGCTGCTCGCATTAAATTCAAGGCATTAATGTTTGCCTACAAAACCACCACTGGCTCTGCTCCCTTTTACCTAAATTCATTACTTCAGAGTTATGTGCCCTCTAGAAGCTTGCGTTCTGCAAGTGAACGCTGTATTATTGTATATATCTTAAAGAAGCACAAAATCACTTTCACTGACTTTTTCATTAACTGTTCCCTCCTGGTGGAATGACCTGCCCAAATCAATCCGAGCAGCTGAGTCCTTAGCCATCTTCAAGAAATGACTAAAAACACATCTGTTCCACCTTTATTTGACCCTCTAACTCTAGCACTCTCTATTCTATTTTAATTCTAATTTTGTATTGTCTGCTAAATGACTAAATGTAAATGTAAATGTAAATGTAAAAGAATAGTTCAAAGTAACAAAAACTTTTCATTTGAATGTGAAGATCATATGCAAACAGTAAATATATAACTCATATATGATATAAAACATTTTAATTATCCACCATGAGAAATTTTATACATAATAGCAATGTGCTAATCATAAATGTTTCAGTCTTCTTTCCACTTAATAACAAGAAAACCTAGAGACTTCAAACGCTTACATGATGATAAGACTAGAGCAGTTTCAGAATTTAAAGAGCAGAGAAATGTAAGGAAAGCGTGATTTGGATTTGATTATTCACTATTGTTCTGCGGTGTCTGAGATATTGAATTGCATGACTGAGCGGAATAAATTAGTTTAATCTCCTTAAATTCCTCTTCTCCAATCATGAAAATTAACATAGGCCTACTTCTTTCTTTTCTTTCTTTTTTTATTTTCTTTTGAATGATTCCATTCATCTTGATGGTTCTAAGAACTTGAGCAGTTTCTCATAGGTGAATTAAAGGTGAGCTCTCAGAAACACGTTCACATAATCCGTGGTTTTTGGGCTTTTATAATAAGATATTGATTCAGACG